GGTTGGTCAATTATATAGCATAAATGGGCAATAATTGCCTTTTCCTTGGTCTTTCCTAAAACCAGTTTGAACATTGGAGTTGCTATTTCACTGTAGGGCTCTATTCTTCTTTTAACTGTTTTGCTGCCATGTGAAAGTACGAATGTTGTATTAAATCTTTTTTATACTTTCTTCATACATTAGTACAGTATGTAGACTGGCCACTTCCAATGTTTTGGCACCTCTTATTCTGCAGGTTTGCTTTTTATGATCTCACTTTTCAAAATTTCCCAAGCTTCTTGAGCTGTTTTCCCCTTGAGGCTTCTCATCCATGGAATCCTTCCCAAGTTTATTTACATCAGCTCTCTTAAAATCCAAGACTCTAGTTTGACTATGTTCTATTGCTTGTGCTTTGCATAATGTTGAATTCCAATATTGCATGATCACTTCCCCTCCCAGGTTCCTGTAGCTTCAACACCTTCTATCATTTCATCTCTGTTAGAGAATTAAGTCCAATATGGCTGATCACCTAGTTCCCTTTTCTACTTTTTGGGAGACAGAGTTGTCTGCTAGATTTGTCAGGAACTTGGTTGATCTTCAACTTGGTGCAGAGTTTGTCTCCTAATTGATGTCAGGGTAGTTAAAGTCCCCGATTACTATTATGACTAGTAATGGTAGTTACTATAGTTAACTGACTAGCAAAAAGTTCATTTATTTCCTCTGTTTAGTTGGGTGGCCTATAGTATGCTGGTATAGTTGGTTCAAAACTATACCAATTATTTTGATGCTTACCATATTTCTGTAGGCATTCAATCAATTCCAGTAACTATCTAATTTGGTAAATACTGGGCTATTAAACTTTATCTTCTAGTATTAGAGGGTCTTGAAAATATAAAATATCTTTTAAAATGTCTTAGAAATTGACACCCTTATTTATACAGAATTTTAGTATATTTCTTCCAACTTTGTTTGGTCTTTTTTTAATCGGTGACCATATGTCTGTTGGCATCCTTTTTCCTAACACTTTTCCTTGGTGGGTTTGTTTTATCTTTACAGATGTCACAGTAATACTATTTCTTGTTTAGCTTCCCTTTTTGGTATTCTCTGCCATCTGTTACCTGACATCCCATTCGCTTTCCTCTGTTTCTTGGTCTTTGGCAGTCTTTTCACATTCATTCTTAACAAATTCTTTGATTTCATTCTATGTTTTCTGTGGTTGTCTGCTATTAAGGTTTAGGATTTCAAAGTGATTCCTGATGTTCTCCTTGAAAATGGTGTCTATGTTCTCAAGATTATATCATGGGAAATGGTTGGCTTTGTTCTTTGCTTTAGCTGGACTTTGAACTTATGTACTTGAGCAATCTGTGATCAATTCCATAGTCAGCACCTGGCTGTGCATTTGCTGTTATATAAACAAGTTTTCCTTGTATTAATACAGTCGTCAATTCAATTTCTGTGTACTCCATATGATAATGTCTGTATATGTAGGAATCATTCTGGTTTCTAGGAGAATGGTTTCACAGTGAAGTCAAAAGAAGTTGATTTCTCTTTCCTAGGTCATAAATTGCAAGTATGTTTTCCTCATTAATATTTCAAAGTTGGCATTCAATTACAAACAATAAGCAGCACAACATGCTTTACTGTTTTGTCATTTAGAAATTGAACTTGACCATAATTCTCCTTAGCTTCCTGTTTTTTTGCATTAGTGGTTGGAGTATAAAATTGCATAATTGTGATTTTAAACTGACCTGCCCTATAAATTATCCCAGGAGAAGATGGTTACTTCCCATCTCAGTGATACGAGGGTGGCCAATGGCAAAGGCATTTTTTGGTTAGGACCTCAATTGTTTGGAATAACCTCCCTTTAAAAATTAAATTGGCCCCTTCCTTAATTTATTACATAAAATTATGACACATGTCTAATGATTATTTTCATAATTAACCTTCTTCCAGAGAGCAGTTGGTAATTAATATTTCTGTTGGTCATTATTGTTGCTATTATGCTATTATTTTGGATTGAACAACAGTAGCTCCATCAAACTATAGAATTAAGTTTAAATTTAACTTTAAATTTAAGAGTAAACTTTGGCAAGGTGGGCAACATATAAGTTTAATAATAAATAAAATAAACTAACTAAAATATTTAACTTCTGTGGATGTTTTGTGGTTTCTGTACTATGGATGTTTTAGCTTTAATTGTTAATTATAATCTATTGGGAATCTCAGGCAGATTCAATGGTATGTAAGTATATTAAACAAATAAATGTCTATGAAGATTCTTAATCATCCAGGTCATGTTTGCCCCAAAGGTGCTTTTTCAAAAGGCTATTGGATTTTCTTGGTTTTTCCTTGAAAACGTTTCACTTCTCATCCAAGAAGAGCTGAACTAAAGAAGCTTCATGGGTAAGAAGCTAGATGTTTTTAAGGAAAAAAACCAAAAATGTCCAGTTGCCTTTTGGAAAAGCACCTTTGGGGTAAACAGATAAATACACCTTTAAATAATAGCAGATGAAACAAAACCCTGTAGACTTCATAACCAATAAGAGTCGTATTAATTCAATTCTTCTATTAAAGTTCAGAGCTTTACAATATGACTAAAGAAGGACTGGCAGTGACATGATAGCAGTGTTCCAGTATCTGAGGAGCTGCCACAAAGAAAAGGGCTCAACCTATTTTCCAAAGCATCAGAAGGCGATACAGGAAATAATGATGGAAACTAATCAAGGAAAGAAACAACCTAGAACTAAGGAGAAATTTCCTAACTGTGAGAACAATTAATCAATGGAACGGCTTGCCTCTAGAACTTGTGGGTGCCAAATTTGGCATGGAGGGAGAAGCTGGCAAAAAAAAAAAAAGTTTAAAATGATCCACAGGAATGGGCAGAAAAATGGGTCCCTTTGTGTACCCCAATTATAAAAGAAAATTTATCGTTCCACTTCATGTCACCCAGAGTGGAATCTGTGCAATTTGCCCTTTGCTTCCCAGTGCATGTATACACAAGCATCACAAATGGGATATTTATGTACCATGCTGATTAAATCATCACACATATTAATATATCTGCATATTCCCCGGTTGGTGTCTAGAGAAAAAGTGCACACAGAGATGCAAAATGTTATTTGGTTATACAGGATAAAAAAGAGATGCTTCCTATGGTTATGTCTGCTAAATGGGTTGGGAATAATTGTAGAAGTCATGTTCTATAACAGGGGTGTCAAACTCAATTTCACTGAGGGCCACTTTAGCATTGCGGTTGCTTTTGGGGGGCCGGGTGGCTGTGGCCAGGGTGGGTGCGGCCTACTGGGTGGGTGTGGATGGAGTGGGTGTGGCCTACTGGGTGGGCATGGCCAGCTCTACATTGTTCGTGTCAAGGGTGCCTGTGGGGGCCTGAGCATGAGTGGGACAGATCTAAGGGTCTCTGGCAGAAGGGGGTGGGACTGGGGCAAGCGCCAAGGCATGGTGCATTTCTTCATTCCTCACAAAGGGTGACACCTCCCCAGCATGCACCCAGGGGATGGGGCCAATGCGGCAGGGGCCAGTTCCTCGCTGTTTCTGGACGGCCTTGTGGAGCTAAGACTGAATGCATTTCAGCATAGATGTCCACCACAAAATTGTACATTGGCTCCCAGCTGGCCTGGGCCAGGGCCAAGGCAGCAGGGGCCGTTCCCTCACTGTTTCCAGGATGGCATCGCGGGCCACATGAAACCACTTCGCGGGCCGCATCCGGCCCCCCGGCCTTGTGTTTGACATGTCTGTTCTATAACATTGTCTTTCAGTGGAACATAATGTTAAAAATAGACTGAAAAGAGAGTCAAGATTCTCTTGGCCTACATATTAGAACACACAACAGAACCAGAGTAAACCTGGAGGTGGAGAGAAGCCAGCAAAAAAAAAAAAAAAAAAAATAGAGGGGGAAGATGGAGTAGCTTTGGTTTGGGACTCTGGAGGAAAAAAAACCCAGGAAAAGTTTCTCAAAGCATTCCTGTGGGAAAGGCAAAGCTTCAGAATGCTATTAACCTCTCATCTCCTCCTGATCATAAGACCCAACAAAAAGTCTCTACAGCACACTCTATATTCCCAGTGAAGATATGCTCTCAAGCACAATGCAGGGGAAAAGTGTAAACTCACACTGATGCAAAACTTCAAAACCTAACTCTATCTTTTTCTACAACTATTTTTTGTTGTTAAATAAAAAAAACAAACCCACATGTTATGTATCTTGTACATTATCGGTTTAGCACCTTGTCTGTGAAGCTTCCAATCTTTTTTTTCCAACATGCTGTTGTTTTGAGGTTTTTTGGGAATCCAAACTATGCAAAAATAGGAGATTGTGCAGAGCAGTAGCCCAATTTATTATTGCATTTCAACGATAACTCAGAGAATATTCTTAGCAGTTGCTATGAAATTATTTAATAATGGGCTTGGTTTATGGCTCAAACTTTCACTAGGGTATTTAAATGATGCTGGATGATTTGAGGATTAAAGTCTTTGGATCACAATCTGCCAGAGTTATAATGCATACATCATCAAAGAAATATACTAATAGATGCATCCCTAGGAAAAATGCATCTAACATTCATTATTCATTCAATAATTTAATTATGCTCATGAAATCTTTATTAAAGCCCAAAGATTTACATGTTCTGAAGAGAAACCAGTTCCAATTTTTATGTCAGGGGATCTTCTGTATACACACAGTGCCAGCACTAAAATTAGAAGTTTTACAAACTCTCTTGTCTTTTAGCTGAACTCTTAGCTTTTCAGGTGTCGACACACCATAAAGGACAGACCATTTTTCTTCCCTATGATCAATAAAAAAGTGTATTTTCAAAATGACTTAATATTGATGAAGGTTCACAGTTGCTTACAGTATTGACTGTATGTCCATAATCACTTCTAGGACAGTAAGTTAATTTAGTGCAGTCGTTTTAAGCACTGAGAAAGAAACAGTAAGCAAAATGTTGTTACTTAGTCTGAAGAACAAAACTGACATTTTACCTTGTTTTGTCATTTGGCTCTAGGAAGTGGATCTACATCGAGTGAACAGCCAAGACAAGTTTGGCCTTACCGTCTGCTACAGAACTGATGATGAAGATGATATTGGTATTTATATCAGTGAGGTGAGATGAAATTTCCTTAAAACAGCAGGAGTCTTTTGACTGTAGCTGCAATAGAGTTTTCTTTTGTTATCAGTTTCATTTCTTATGTAACCCGGGAGGAGAATTGGTATATTATTTTTAAAATTCATCTGGTGAGCTAGCGTTTATACTCCCCATTCATAGATGAATTTTAATTAAAGTTCCACACTTAGTTTTAGAAGGATATCCACAAATTCCCTAGCTGAAGCCTCAGGTATCCATTCAAGTCTTCATTACAAGACCTATTTGTTGTTATTCTTCAGTCAGAAATTAAATAGTGCCTACTCAGGGTTGATTTCTATAGTGGATGCTCTCTTTGTAGATGGATTTCCTAAAGTTGTTTCCAAAATCATGGATATGGATATGGGTGCTTTTCTAACTGCTTGCATTGTGCCAGTTCCTTCTGCTTTTTATTAACTTTAATTATAGAAATAAATAATCAATTTGTTCTTGTTGAAAACACCAGATTCCTACACCTACAAGACCTACTCATGAATTACTTGGTTACTTGATGACTTAGTAATTGAATGTGTCAACTGTCCCCACTAAAAGTATTTTTGTTTCTATTGAGATGGTTTAATATGAAAATAACGAGATTAACTAAATTAAGCCCTATTGATTTCAGAATGCCACAGTTAATTTGTAATGGTTGCCTGTTAGTCTGTTGCATTAAAAAAAAAGATCGAGTCTTGTGGGACTTTAACCAGTAATAAACATTTGTCTAAACCCTTCTCATGAAATGCATGAAATGTCATTCTAAGTTAGCTTGTTTGCATAGTAGCATTGGGATGGGGAGTGCAATTTTAAGCATTGAAGTCTGAAGCTAATACAAGTGTATAATATGATATTTACTTGGATGTAGGAGCACATTGTTTACTCATTGGTTTTTCAGCCTGCAAAGATCAAGGAAGCATGGATGAAGTGGGACTGAAATTTTCAGTTGCTTTGTGAAGAGATGGAAATGGGGGTTAGAAGTATTAACAAAAACAGAACTGTTAAGCACTGCTGAGGCTGAATGCAACTATTTTATAAATAAGTTCAGTAAAGAAAAATGTGCCAACAAATCAATATATTTTTTTCAGATCTCTGGAAGCCTCATTCAATTGATCTCTCTCTCTCTCTCTCTCTCTCTCTCTCTCTCTCTCTCTCTCTCTCTCTCTCTCTCTCTCTCTGTGTGTGTGTGTGTGTGTGTGTGTGTGTGTGTGT